AGCTCTCTTTGCACTCCAAAGACTGAAGCTGCCTGTGTACACAGGTCTGAGGTTTTTTGGCCCTTGAACCAAGGAAGGGACTCCCTCCCTGGCCAGACCATGCCTTCCAAAAACAGGGTCTGCTTTCTTCTCAAGGAGGCAAGGTGCCGCTGGGAGCAAAGGCCACAGGGAAAACCTAGGGGCACAGAGGGGCTGGCCCTGCAAGACTGTAGTGTCCTTCCAAATGCCCTTTCTCTGCTTTTATTGACCCATCAATATCTGGGCTCACACTTTCATGCTCCTTCCCCGTTCTTTTCCACTAGTAACAGGCCTCTGCCTTCTCAATAGTCTCTCTGTCTTCCTATTAGGACTCAGCACCTCCCTGAACTCCCCCTCTGTATTGTCCCACAATTCAATAATCAATGTAAATTCTAACATCTTCCACATATTTTTCAATCTAAGGCCCCCCTATCCACTTAGCATTCTGCCTTGCTGTTTCCCAGAATGAGGAATGCAGTTTCACGATGTACAAATGCCTACTAGCACCTAATAAGAAGGTTGAAGTTGGGGGAAGTCATGCTCTTAACAGTGCTCCAGTTTGGCCCCATAAGAGCCCCAGGTAAACAGAGGTGAATAGAATCAAATGTTGATGTTATAAAAAGGTTTTGTCTATATTACATTGTTGGAAGGGGGTAAAAATTTATGGGGCCCTGGAAAGATACTAAGTTCTTGCCTTATTTCAAAAGGGATTGGAGGCAATGTGTTTTTGTTTTTTAAGTTTTTTTTTTTTTTTTTTTTTTTTTTAGGACTCCTACAAATAACAGAAAAGACATAGGAACTTGCTTAAGCAAAAAAAGGGGGAAATTAGAAGGAAACAGAAAGTCTTATGGAACCCAAGGGCATGGATGTAACTTGGCTTTAGCAACATGATGGAAGTAGGGACTGGAAGACTGGGCGATCCATGGGGACCCCAGTCTCCATCCCTCACCCTGCTTCTCTTTGCCCATCTGCTTCACTCTCTTTCCTGCAGACTGCCCTTCTCTGCTATTCCCAGAAAATGGCCCCTGCTAATATCCCTGTGGCCAGCCTGCTGGGGCTGGTAGCGGGAGGGGGTGTGTGTGTGACAGTTGTATAAACATGGCTGTTCCTGCTACAATTTAGCATGTGGGAGAGGGGGGCAGATCTGCAAAAGGGTGGAGGACCATCCAGGAAGCTCAGGAAGTGTTCATTACACTGCACCCCTTGACTGCCCATCACATGGGGACATAGGCACATATCACAACACACAAACATTACACATGCCACCGGCACAGCCAAGCTTTTCTTCATCCTTGCTATTTCTAAGATGTCCTGTCCTAACACAACCCACCTTTGTAATGCAAAACGGCAAACAGTTACTGCCCTTGCCAGTGGAATGAAGCCCCCAGACTTGCATGTTTCTGCAAGCAGAGGGGAGGGGTGGGGACAGGACAGTTCTCTTGAAGGGTCTGTCAGCTATTCTGGGGAGTAGTTAATCTTGAGGCAGGGAAACCTGAATCCAACCCAATTCACATGAATGACATGGGCCCGTTTCCTACACCAAAGTCATTTTTGTCAGACTGGCAAAGTATGGCACAGATGATCACAAGTGGGGCAGAATACATATCCTGAAAATAGACCTGCTTTTACCAATTGGCTACATCCCACCAGTAAAAAAATTTAAAAAAAAATTAGAATTTGTTGGAATTCAATGGATGCCACAGGGAACTAAAAAACAACACAAAACAGCAAAAACAAAAACAAAAAAACATTTCAGGCCCACAAAGCCACAAAGGGGACTAGAAGCCTATAGTTTTTGTCAGTTGAAGTCTGTTTGATACTAAAAAGTAGTGACCTAGTTCTAAATTTATGTTTGTGCCCCCTGTAGTGGCCAAACACAACAAGTTCCAGGAATCTCTACATTGGATTCATTTTCAGGTCTGGAATGATGGTGAGTCAGTTATTCAACTGAGGCTTGAGTGAGGGTTAGGAGGGCAGACTCGGAGCTAGCCTACCAGGGGTTGAATTCCAGTACCACAATTACTTTCTGTTGGATTTTAGGGAAGTTACTTAACATCTCTCTGCGTCAGTTCCCTTGTAAAATGAGGATGAGTATAGTACCTGTTATCATAGGGTTTGTGATGGTTAATTATATGTGTCAACTTGGTTGAGTGACAGTGCCCAGGTCAAACATTATTCTGGATATTTCTGCAAGGGTGTTTTGGGATGAGATTAACATTTAAATCTGGAAGGGTAGAGTGTCTCACGTCTGTAATCCTAGCACTCTGGGAGGCCGAGGTGGGTGGATTGCTTGAGGTCAGGAGTTTGAGACCAGCCTAAGCAAGGGTGAGACCCTGTCTCTGCAAAAATAGAAAAAATTAGCTGGGCATTGTGGTGAACACCTGTAGTCCCAGCTACTCTGGAGGCTGAGGCAAGAGGATTGCCTGAGTGCAGGAGTTTGAGGTTGCAGTGAGCTATGATGATGTCACTGCACTCTACCTTGGGTGACAAAGCAAAACTTAGTCTCAAAAAAAAAAAAAAAAAAAGGGAACAAAAAATAATTTAAATTGGCTGACTTTGATTAAAGCAGATTACCTTCCACAGTGTGCATAGGCCTCAACCAACCAGTTGGAGGCCTAAATAGGACAAACCATTGACCTCACACCAAACTAGAGGGAATTCTTGAACTAGAGGGAATTCTTCCAGCAGACGGCTTTTGGACTAGAACTACAACATTAGTTCTTCTCTAGGATCTCCAGCCTGTTGGCCTACCCTACAGATTTTGGACTTGCCAGCCTCCATAATAGTGTGAGCCAATTCCCTAAAATAAATTTCTCTCTCTATAGGATGGTTGGCTGGAAAGGATCCACCATGTAACTGTTCTCATTATATTAACAATGGCTGGGTACATTCCAGAGAGCCCTAGTGTATATACACAGAACCTAGTGTTTCTGATTCTCTGGAGAACCCTGACAAATACAGGGTTGTCCTTAGAGTTAATGAGATAATACACATAATACTTTTAGAAGAGGGAAGGCCTGGGTAGCCATATGGGCAGACACATGTGCTGCCTGTGCTCTTCAAGGATGCCTGTGCTCTCTTGCTCTTTGAACACACCCCCAGGATATTGGAAATACCCTGAGAAAAAGAACAAGTACTGTTTGAGTCTCCCCCCGAAATCAGGCACTCCTAGAGGTGGCATGATAGGAAGTTGGAGGCTGCTCCCATACATCTTGCTTGCAATGATTCTTAATGTTGTGGCCCCAACAATCACTGCACCCTCAACTGGAAATTAAAACTTGGCAGATAGCACCTTGGGCAGACCCTGAGCTACCAGACTCTACCTGCAGCTTCCTGATACAGAGGATCAGAGCTTCCTCTAGAAAGATCTGGGTTTTTATCTTCAGAATGGAGTACATTAGAGTCAGCTTTTGGACTGATAGTGGATGGGCACTGTCACGTGAGATGTGATGCCCAGTGCAAGGCAATAGAAGCAAATAGTTTTGTCCTAAGAGGATTCTTCCATGCTTCTGAGGGACTTCCATGAGGGCTTTGGCCATTTGGAGAAAAAACAATGTCTGAAACAAATATCACCTACTTTTTTCTCTTAAGATAGGTGAGGACATGAAATTCAGATGCAAATTGTTCACCTGCCACATTCAGCAGAAAACTAACACAAGCAGCTGATGTGCAATCTATTCAAATCAGCAAGTTCATCATGCACAGCTTTCTGGTCTTTGGAAGTGGAGAGCCCGAGACTTGTGTGCAGAGTCCTGACAATTTAGTGCCTTCTACACAGGCTTATCCTACATGGGACCAGACAATAGCCACAGTTGCCTGGATCTTGGGTAAAGAACATCTTTCTCAAAGTGTTGGTGTCCTGGGACTCCATTCCCTTACAGGACATGTCCAAGAGCTGGGACACAAAAGTTCAAGAACACTCTGATCTCCAGAGGAAGGTCCCCACAGCCAGCCAAATTTATTGAACATGTGAGCAACATGGTGTGGGCAGAAAAGTCGACGAGTCAACAAGGTGTGTAGCGTCCCCCCAGTTGCCCTTACTTTCTTTCTGTGTCCTGATGGAAAATCACAGAATTCCTTGACTGCTCTGTGACCTAGCCAGCTGCAGTTTTTCCCAGTAGGCTTGAACCAAAACTAGGGCCTTGAACATTCGCAGGCACCGATAAAGGTATCTAGGTTGTTGCCCTGACTCTGAAAGAAGCTGGCCCCTGCCCTGAGCCAAATTCCTTAAACCGTCATATAAACTCCATACCTGACCCCCTCACTGTGGACATACCTAGGTAGAACAGCCCTTTTCTATAGCCTGGAGGGTGCACTGCAGCCCACTCTGTAAGTTCCACTAACACGTGCTTTGGACTAATCATCTGCTGTTCAGTGCTTCTTTCTTTGGAATCCAACTGGCCCCATCTGGGGATGGTTTGGGGCACTCCCTTGTGAGAATTCCCTTACTGCTGGTTTTGGGGTGACTCCCAACAGCAGGAGTGGGTTTGGCTGGATAGAACAACAACTGAAAAATAAATCATAAATCTTCACACACCACCCCCCAATTCATAACCCATTCAGCCTCCCCAAAGACACATGTCCATTTCCATTGTCTGTTTCCAGCCAGAGTGGAACAGTCCCATGTTCCTCCTACACCTCTTTGCATCTGGATGGGACAGGGAGGGCTCTGGGCTTGGCTGCTGTGGCCACCACACCAGGCTCTGCAAGGTCTGCAGGACTCTTGCCAGCTCCAGATGGACACTATTCTCTGAGATGCTGTTATCCTACCTGGACTGCAGCCTGTGAAGGCCACAGGAGGCAGTCTGGGACCTGTGCAGTATCGCTGGGCATGGACATACAATGTCCAGAAGCAGCAGCAGCAAAGCTCCATCACTTTAGTGCTGGAAGGCAAGTCAGGTAGCAACTTGTTTACAGATGAAGAGACTGAGACCCAAAGAAGGGTCAGGCAGAGCCAGGACCCAAAGGCAGGTGTTCAGACTTCAACTTCTGAGTGATAGGAGCCCCGCTTTGCCACCCCACTTCTCCCAGAGCTCCACGATGAGGTGAGGGTGGGTCTCTTTCAGGGCTTGGTAGAGTCTATCTTTGCAGGCCTGGTCCCAGGACTGGCTGAAGCTGAACAGCTTTCGCATCTGGCCTGGCCTGGTGGCCTCAGCCCGCACCCCCTCATACTGCTCCTCGCTCAGCACCTGTCCATGCAGCTTGTCCAAGACAGGGTCCACTGATGTCACGCGTGCCACCAGCTGCTCTCGATACCGGTCTACGAAGTGCAGCAAGGCTGGGGTGTCCGAGGATGAAGGTGAGGCTGGCAATGAACAAAGAAGGGCTCCCACCATATACTCCACCTCCAGCCCCCACGTCCAGCCCTTTTCTCTCTCTCCGCTTCATCCCTGACTTCCTTCTCCCTCTGGAAAGGCATTTGACCATCAGAAAGGCATCTCTGCCCTGCCTCATGTCAGCATCTAGACTGATATTCTGCTGAAGTGGAGCGTGGTAGTGGGAGTTTGTTATGGGGGCATTTGAGGTTGAGGAGGGGGTTCTAAGACTTCTGTGGGCAGGAACTAGGGGGGATGGGGAGAGGGACTCTGCCGTGGGGCATGCACCACTCTCCAGGTCTTGATCCTTGTGATCTTTGCAATGATAGAGTCCCTTCTGCTCTCTCTTCCCTTCTCTCCAGGACCAGATAGTACACCTCAAAACTCTCACTGGCTCCTGTGGTCCCTAAGAGCTGTTACTGACCTATGGGGGCTGGAGAGGCTGGAGTAGCTGCAGGTCTGAGATCTCCTGGAGGAAAACAGAGATAAATAAGCATCTGTTGAAGTAGTAGTTATTAACATATGTGATACACCTCCAAGCTCCCATGACTCACTTCTGAGATTCTTTGATTCAGAATCTCTTCCTTATGCATATGGGGAAAGTGAGGCTCTGTGCCTCATAGAACCATGAACATAGACCAATAGAGAGAAAAAAGTCATCAGAATGAGCAGTAGCAATTTCTCCCACACATTGCAGACTTGACTTTATCCATTGTTTCTCTGAACTGAATCCCTGGTGGAGAACTAACCAAATCCCGTGCTAGGCAAAGCTTTAACTATTTGATATCTCCTTATTCTGAGTAGAAATCTACTTCCTTGTCCTTGTTTGGCCTTGTAGACTGGCACAGACCAAATATGTGTGTTCTGGATTTGGATGTCAGAATCAAGAATCAAGATCAAGCAATCTTAGCACATGGAAAGAATGAGTGAATTTGAATAGGAAAAAAAAAAAAAAAAAAAAAAAAAAAAGGAGAGACTTAAAACATTTCTTTCAAAGGAGAGAAAGGGGGAGTTTGCCTTAGTTTGTGTGAACAAGGCCTGAGAGTCTGAACAGATCCAAGGTTCAATGTGACCTCACAGTGCAGGAGGGGGCACAAGGAGAGGGGAGTTCAGGTTGTGGTTCAGGGAGCACAGGGTCCATTCGGATGGAGGGAGGAGGGTGTTCCACATCCTGTATGCTGACTGCATTGTCTGGGAGTCAATCCTGACTCATTTATCAACTGGAGCATCTACTGTGGATGGTGGCAGAAAAGAATTTAAAGACCAAAATAGAAGAGGAATGATGGAAGGGACTGGAGATGTTTAACTCTTGTAACAGGAGATATGAGAGGCCATGATCATGTCAAGAGTCTGATTTGTTTTCCTATGGGAAAGGAGATAGACTTCTTCTGTCAGCTCCAAGGGATAGAATTAAGACTGCCAGGAGGAGGAGATTGGCTTAATATGAGGAAAAAGAGTAATATTGCTACTATTTTTTAAGGACCACAGCATGACACATGTACAAGCACCAGTTTAAACTTTCCAGTATTCCTACAAGTTAGTCATTATGATCCTCATGTTATAGATAAGGAACCTGAGACTCAAATGTGTTAAGTAATTTTCCCAAGATCATCCAGGAAGTAAGTGCCAGAGTGGGATTCGAACCCAGGTCTGAAGCTGGGGCTGGTTAGTTCTCCACCTGTGGTTGCACACAGGCCAAGACTGAGTAAAGGCCACTCTCATTCCACCACACTGTGAAACCTGTTTGTAGCAGCTCAGGAAGCAACTCCATTTTTATGACAGGTGACATTTGTCCCTAGAAGGAATGTTTGGGTGATTTGGGTTCTTAGTGTGTTGGTGCTGGACTAAGGCTATAGGATTTCTCCATCCCTGAAATTTCACCATTTGAGTCCCTCTGTCTTTCTGAAAAATATTGAATGATCCAGGGAGAGTATCTGATATTGTCAAAATTGGCTTAATCCATACAACCACATAATCATCTACTTCTTATTCTTTCATCCCTCATCCAAGCTATCATGAGAAGCTTTGTCAAAAGCTCTGTGGATGTCAGAATCTGTTAATTCAAGGGTAGTGTGGGGACACCATGGTGCACAGGGGAGAGCATAGGGCTTAGAGAGTCAGACTGACTTGAGTTTAAATTCTGGTCATAACAACAGTTATGTGACTTGAAAAAGCCACCTAACTTCTCTGGGCTGTTTTTTCTCATTAATCAATTGTGGTAATGTACACTGTCACACACATATATGCACACACACATTCACTGACTTTCTTTCTCCCCCATCTCCGGGCTCCCTGGACTTGTCCTGGTTTTACCTGGTTTCACCAAGGCCTTCCACACCACAGTCCCATCTTTCTTGTCTCTCATTTGCAGCCTGATCCCCGACCCCAAGTGGCCGATGTAGATCTCAGAGAACAGCTGGGGTTCTCCAGGGCTCCGATAGCAGAGCTCCAGTTCCTGAAGAGACAAAGAGTCACCATCCTGTTCATTCTGCAAGTGAGGTCTTTGCCACATCTGACACCTTCTTGGCCCTGTTTTATCCCATAGGGACACTCCAATAACCTGTACTAAAATCAGTCGCCACCGTCAGACAGTGCTCTTTTTCATTTTCCACAAATCCTGACTCAGAAGGATGAGGACACATCTGGGTACCTCATGGATGAGTCAGGACTCCTCCTTAAAAGTAGTACTCATCCGTCCTAAGCTAGATCCTTGTTGCTCTACCTCCCCCATCATGAATCCAAACCCTCATTCCTCCAGCCCAAAGACTGTCTTCCCAATGGATCCTAAACTTGACTTGCTTTAAATTAACAGGAAATTTATATGCATCCCCTTTCCTAAGTCATACCCAAGACAGAACTCTTTATTCCCAGCTGTCTTCCAAACATGCTCCTTCTTCAGTTTCCACAAACTTGGTAAATGGTTGCAAATTAGGGATCATCCTTAACTCCTTCCCATCCACATCCATTTTCCCAAGTCCTGTTGGCTCTACCTCCAAAATATACCCTGAATCCATCAACTTTCCTCTGTCTCCATTGCTACCTTCCTAGTCAAGCCACCTTCAACTCTAGTCTGTAGTATTGCAACAGCATTTTTTTTTTCCAGAGATGGGGTCTTGCTGTGTTGTCTAGGCTGGCCTTGAACTCCTAGGCTCAAGCGATCCTCCTGCTTCAGCCTCCCAAGTAGCTGGGACTACAGGTGTTCATCACTATGGCTGGCTTTGCAACAACCTTTTAACTTATCTCTGCTTCCTCTCTTGTCTGCTTATCACCCATTCTCATCCAGCAGCCAGAGGCATCTTTTTGAAAGTAAATCAGGTCTTGTGTTACCATGATTAAGACCCTCCAAGGACTTGCCACTGCACTTAGAGCAAAATCCAAAATCCGTATCAAAATCCCCGCTGACTGGATTGATGAGTCCTAGGAGACTCTCCCTCTGATCCGACCCATCTCTTGCTACGTGCACTAAGGTCTGCCACACTGACCTCCTTTTTGTCACCTGGGAGTGTCAAGCTTGCTTCCACCTCTGTGCCTCTGCACACATTCCTCTGCCTGAAACGCTCTGCCACAAATCTCCACCTGCCTGAACCCTTCTTGTCACTGCAGTCTCAGCTTGAATGTCGCCTCCTCGGGGAGGCTTCTCCTGACCACTAGTGTAAAATAGCCTGAGTCACTGTCTTACGATGCTGTATTTTCTTCACAGCACATCATGGTACTTGGTCAGTATGTCTTTAATTATGTATGTTGGTCTCATCCACCAGGATATAAGCCTCCCAAGAGCAGGGATGAGTCTATCTTGTTCACTGCATTATCTCCACTAAAGACAGCGTATACTTGGCACTGGGTAAATATTCGTTCAATGGCTGATTCATGTCTTTCATCCCTTGTTAACAACTGACACAGCAGGAAAACTCCAAGATATTCATCCTTAGAGTCATGTCTCCCAACTCAAAAGATAACGTCACTTCCTCCTAACTACTGGATATCTAGTCCATCCGAGGACATAAATTGAAGATTACTGGAAATCCTTCAGAAACCATGGACTTCAGAGATGGACAGCTTCTGCTTGAGATGTTGGAATAAGATAAATTTTCTGATTTTTCAACACTGTTTCCTGTCCCTTTATTCTATTAACTAATCTTGTTCTATTATTCTACTTTGACACCTTCTGAGACACTAATATGATCTCCCTTACCATCATCCTATTATTTCTGACTCCTTATGGTTTCCTTCTACCACGTAAGGAAAAACAAAGCTCTTGTATGTTTTCCCAGACCCAGCTACTGCTCTGAATTTAACTGATTGCTGGATCCATGGTCCCACACCTTACCTTGCAGATAAAAATAGCTAGTCAAAGTGGAATTTTCTCTGTAGCAAATACTTCCTGTTGATTTATACTTTTTGAAAATAGAATAATTTCTGACTAGGGAAGAGAACACTGCATTCCCCTGGCTTTCATAAATAGACCCAGCCAGAGTCTGGTTATGTTTTATTGACTGGTTTCCATAATCTAGGCCCCTGCTTTGGAGACCTGTTACAAAGACTAATAGTCCTTCTGTTTTTGATAACTGCCTGTGTTACAGTTGTCCGATGTACCCTGTCCTGAGTTTTAAATGCTGCAGAGCTGTTGTCATGTCAGATGGTTCAAAGACTCATCTCACAGCAAAAGGAGAAAGAAAGAAGAATTAACCCTGGTTCAACTACAGACCACCATTCAGTAAATGAATTTCTGATCCTATGCAGCAAATGTGGGCCATAGTGAAGATAATGCCCAGGGGCATGACTTCATATGCCTTTCACTCTAAGGGTGGACTGAAAAAGCACAAAAAACAGCTGCTGACACCCAGGAAGGGATCTGAGGCTCCCATCGAGACCTTAGTATTATCAGAAACCGACTGAGGCTCACTGTGCTGCTATGTTGTCCTTTGGTCAGACAAACACAATCTCAGAACATCCACTACAGACAGGTCACTGGGCAGCCCAGAAAAATGCCAAACATCCCTCCTGTACTAAATGAGTGACAGCTACTTGTTTAGCAATTACAGCTTTGTGCTTGCTTTAGTTTGCCCTCTCCAGAGAGATTTGTTGAGATTCCCATTTGTGGAATTTCCCCTATTTACTGAAAATGACCAATCTAAAGCAAATCTCCATTGCCTTAAACCTTCCCCCAACGAAGGGCCAAATCCTATAGTAGTAGTAGGTTCTTTCTAACACCCCTTTACTGAGATGCCCTGTGTTTTCCATGGTGTGTGTTCTCCATGGTGTGTGTTCGCCATGGTGTGTGTTCTCCTGATGCAATGAGTGAGAAACCCAGTGTGTTTGGCTGCAGGTGTGTTCCTGTGGATGTTCCCTGGAGGCCATTAGCTCCCTACAGCCCAAGAACTTCCCAGTAACCCTAAGTTAAACCCCATGGATCTCCACATCCTGAGTGTGATCTTCCCTCCCTGTCCTCCAATCTCTGCAGCCTTCCCACTCACCCAAATCCTACTCCCTGTCTGCCCAATCCGAATTTGCCGTGCCCATGGGACAGCCCTGAGACCTGCCCCACAGGGATTCCCGAGCATCCCCTCTGATCCAGGCAAGGGGCAAACACTGGGATGCTCACCTCAGGGATTATCTCCAGCTTTTCTGAGCCAGACACAGTGTAGCGAGAGCCCATATACAGTGAGGTCAGCGGGGGTGGCTTGTGTATTTGCACAAACTGGAACTTCTTTTCTTCATCATCGATGGCCTAAGGAACATACAGAACAATGATTAAGAGAGGATTCTGCCCCATGGGACCTGGTCTGAATGGGTCAGATGGTGCTTCTGTGTTTGTGTGTTTGTGGGGGTGCTGGTATACCACCCCTGCACTGCTGTCGCTTGAAGCACATCCACACAGCCCCACATTGGGCCTCTGCCATCTTCAGGGTGGGAATAGGGTCATTGCTTGAGAAGAAGTAAGAATGGGGAAAGGCTGGTTTTAGGCACAGAGCCCTCTTATCCTTTGACTCCTGGAAAGAGACTGCAAACAGTTGTGCAAAGATGAGTGACGGAGCAGTGAACCCAGCTGGGGAGACCTTAGGGAGTCAGGAGCCCAGCCTGTGGCTCATCAGGGGGCAGGACTGTTCACCCACTTAGACCTTCCCACTTACAAGAGGCCCACCCTTGTCAAGAGCCTCTCTGGGACTTCTCTGTCTGCATTTTGTGTTTACCACTAGCCCACTCTGGCCCAGCCTTTCTGGCTCTTAGTGTCACCTTCCGAATGGAGCAGTCACTGGGGATCAGGTAGAGGTGGAAGGTGACTTCCTTATGATGGAGGTGATGATAGAGCAACACTGTGGAGGTGATGGGAATGAAGCGCAGGGCGGCATGGACCATTCTCAGTAGAACTCCCATGGGGGAGAAGCTGGGGTTTTCCAGGATGGTGTAATGTGGCTCCACTCTGGCTGGCTTCTCCAGGAGCATCCCCTCCTCTTTAAAGTGGGCCACTTGGAACAAGGAGATGTCCACATGGCCCCCTGTCAAAGAATGGAATAGAAAGGCATAGATTTAGTGCCCTTACTGAGTCAGGCTTGGCTGGCATGGGAGGATCCCAGGGCATGGGCTCAGGGACCTTCCTGGGGGAACCCAGAGGTAGGGTCTGAATGTTTGTGTCTCTGCAAAACTAATATGTTGAAATTCTAATCCCCAAGTGATGGTATAAAAGGTGGAATACCCACAAAAATAATAGAAAAAAATTAGCTGGGTGTGGTGGTACAAGTGTGTAGTTTCAGTTGGTAGGGAGGCTGACATGGCAGGATTGTTTCAGCCCAAGGAATTTGAGTCCAGCCTGGGCAACACAGCAAGAACCTCCTCTTAAAAATAAAAGAAGTGGAAACTTTTGGGAGGTAACTAGATCATAGGGGCAGAATCTTCATGAATGGGACCAGTGCCTTAATAAAAGAGACCGAAGGGAATTTGTTTGTGTCTTCCACTCTGTGAGGACACATCTAGAAGGCACCATCTATGAGGAAGAGGGCCCTCACCAGACACCGAATCTCCTGGCACCTTGATCTTGGACTTCCCAGCATCCAAAACTGAGAAATAAATCTCTCTTATTTATAAGCTACCAGCTGATAATGTTTTGTTATAGTAGCTTGAATAGACTAAGACACCCAGCATGGAAAAGGGGTTATGCGTGGGTCTAGGGCCTTTGGAGGTTACAGGTAATCCTGTCTCCAGGGTGGGAGCACCTCAGGAACTCCTTTGAGCAAAACTCATACCCAGGCCCATCCCCTGGCCCTGGAGCTTGGAAAGATATTGAACCTCTGGCTACCTGTGCTGGTGTGGATTCTGTACGTATGAGGGATGATTGAGTGATGCTGGTAGGTTTGGCTTTAGGCAGGTAGAGAACAAGAAGGAAGGGATGGTGGGAAATGGAGTGACCAAGGGTAGCCTACATTGTGAAGTGGTCAAGGACCCTACAGTGGCCACTCCACCATTCAAACTCCTCTTTTTGGGAAGAGCCACTTCCTCCAGCATTGTGTGGGGCTTGGCAGGAGGCAAGCTGAGGCTCCCACTCAGGAAGCTGCTACTCCCTGGCAGCTATGACACATGCATGTGGCCAAGACTTGCCTAAGTGGATGCCCCTAACCAGGACTTCCAGCCTAGAGGGGCGGAGCACAGATGAAGAGACAGAGATTGTCTTGGCAGTGACAGTGGAGTCAAACATCCAGTGGCCCATGACAGGCAGATCCCGCAGTAGCTCTGTCTGCAGCAGAGGTCTCTCCATATTTTTCTTGGTTTGACTTTGGTTGTGTCCTTGGTTTCTCAGCATCATTGTGTCACTGTCTTTTTTTTCCCCCTTAGATTTGTGGCAGAAACTTTTGTTAAGTCTATGAGCTACTCAAGAATCTTCCAATACATTCCTTCATCAGACAGAATTGTTTTCTTGACTTCAGCCTCTGACCAGTACACCAGGTAAGGACGTTAAAGCCACAGGAGACAGTTTGAGCGATCAAGGCTGCTGGTGGAAGAGACGCTGGCCTGCAGATGAGGAGTCTTGGCTCCATCACTGCATTGCTTGGCAATTGCTGTGATGCAGATGGTTTCTGAGCAACAGGACATCCAGAAAGCTGAACAAGGACCTTAGTGGGTGGAGTACCAGTCAGAATATCACTGAATGATATTAATCCCACAAGGAGCCATGGAGATCGTTACTTAAATTTTCTCATTTATTAATTGCAGTTTTTGGATGAAAAATAAAAGCACAGTGGCATGCCTCATCTGAAAATGAGGAACAATTCATCTGTGAATCTCACCAATCAAACAGTACAACTGTTGTTACCATCGTACCCCTTTCCATCACAGTCTTTCTCTGCAGCAACACCTTTTTATATTTCCATTGTAGTTCATGTAGCTTTTGTCTCCTGTTTTTCCCATGACAATTTAAATGCTGCAGGCATCTGTCAGACCTTTCTAATGACCACAGCATGTGACCCCTCCTAGTGGATGCATCACCCTGTAATTCACCATCCGCCTCTCCTGTCAGGGTTGAGCATGCTTCCAATTTGTTACCATGGTACACAGCATTGCAATGCACATATTTCAGCAGAGAACATTTCTATTTCCTTCCCTTGGGTTATTGCCATCAAATCAGTAAGTACCAAGGGATAGGAAAAGTGTGTGAAAAGGTAAGACCTTTTGTTCCCGCCAAAATTGCTTCTCCAAGAAATGGTGTCACTTTGCACTGTCATCAGTGACACTTAGTGGATGGTCTCACCTTGACCTTCACAGCATTGGAATGTCCTCATGTGTCAGATGCGGGAAGTGAAACCCTGGGAGGGAAGTGCTTTTTTCAAGGCCACACAGCCAGTCGTGGCCCTAGGACCAGATCTCAGCACTCTGACCACAGTTTGTGGCACTCACAGATGCTCTGTGCCAAGCTTATTTTGGCTGAATTCTGGAAGGTGCTACATGTCTCCAACTTACCTTCTTGCTAGGGTGGCTGACTGTGTCCCGGCTTGCCCAGGACTGAGAGGGTTTCCAGGATGCAGGACTGTCAGTGTTAAGATTAAGAAAGTCCTGGACCATCTGAGATGAGTTGGTCACCTTCCTTCTGTGTATTCTGTCTTTTCCATAGACTGTAGCAGAATCACCTTCTCCAAACCTGGCAGTATGTTTGTGTTGATAGATTGGAGAGAGAAGGGAAGCAACAACGAAGATCATGGCCTAAAGGAGAAGCAGCTTGGGTGTTGACTGGGAAAATCTCATTGGCAGGAAGACCTTCTACCCGAAGCTGTCTCATTAGAAATATTCAGAACAAGCCATCACAGGGTACGCATGTTTCTGTGACATGGTCTAGGGCCCAGGGCTTCACATCTGCTCATTAAACAAGTTTATTGAACCCTTACAGTGTGCCAGGCCCTGTGTATGTAGCTGTGAGCAGGGAAGACGCGGGCACTGCAATTCCAGAGCTCATGGCCCAACAGAGAAGACAGGCTGATGGCACAAGGCATCACAAGTGCTGTGTCAGGAGAAGCCCGTCGGCTCCCTCCTCCTTTCCCAGATGCATGCCCAGTGTTTGCCTTGGGGCATTGTTACTCAAGCTGTAGTTTAGGGGGCCCGGGGAGTCTCCCTCCCATAGAGCCTGCCCTTGGGCCTGTGGCCTTTATGCCATGGCCCTGCCTTCACTGCTGAGTGTGTCGTCAGCACCTTCCAGGCTCAGATTAGCTGTTTAGGCAAAGAGACTCTCCTGCTCAAGAAGGGACAATGGGACCCCCATCACATGAGAGCCATGTAGCAATGTGGTTAAATGATGTAAACTGCCTGAGTTTGACTCCCAGCTAAAGCCCTAAGCAGCCATGCAACTCTGAGCAGATTACTTAATCTCTCCACACATCATCAGTGAAGCCAATAACAGTGTCCACCTCCCAGTGTCATTGTGAACATTGAATGGGTTTGTGTCTGTAAAGCACTTGGGATAGCAAGGGTTACCTGCTGTTATCATGGATAAATGCAGCCTTCCCAAGCACCTCACAGATGGATGTTGTCGTTCTTTCTCTTTCTTCCTCAAACAACTTGGCACAGTCCTCATGCTAACTCTTGGGGTTTGGGAACAAAATGTACTAAGATCTTTTTTATTTTTATTTTTTTCGAGACAGGTCTGACTCTGTCACCTGGACTAGAGTGCAGTGCTTCCCTCCCAGTGTGCTTCGCTCCCAGTGTGCAGCTTGAATTGTCATTGTAGCTCACTGCAACCTCAAACTCCTCAGCTCAAGTGATCCTCCCACCTTCAACTCTGAAAATGCTAGGATTACAGGTGTGAGTCGCCATGCCCAGCCCTAAGGTCCTTTGAAGATGTATTTTCGTGAATCTGCATTTTGAGACGTTCTATTGTTGCATGGGTGCCAGTTCCAGAGAACCCACAGTTTTGAGGCATGTGGGATATCGCTGTGGTTCCCAGCAATCTAGTCTCATTCAGGTAAGCTCCTGGGTGGGTTGGGAGGGGGAGAGGAAGGAGCTGGTGAATGATCCCACCAAGGTGGCTATGTGAAGTGTCTTTGTTCCCCATGGGTAGCACAGAGATGAGGAAGTGAGACAAAAATGAGGAAGTGGAGAGCAGGAGTCTGTATGTTCTGAAGGAGATGGGGTCGCGGGGAAGGCGAGGGTCCCAAAAGACAGGGCCCAGCTTCATGGGCATGTGGCCTGTGTGGCTGGTGACACAGAGCCTTGAGCTCAGAAGGACGTGGCACTTGGTTTAATATTCTGCTGTCACCATTTTGATAGTCTTCTTAATCATTTTTGAACAAGGGACATGGCTAATAAGAGGTATGCATTTTGCACTGGGCCCAGCAACTGACAGAGCTGGTCCTGCAGGAGAGTGAGAATGCCCAGGGTGGTGAGGTCTGTGAGGCCCCGGGATGAGGCTGAGAGGCTGAGAGTTCTACGCTCTAGCCATAGCGGGAGGAAACTCACTGTAGAAAGTTGGTCACTCAACAGAGGACCTCAGCAATGACAGTGAAGAAGTGGCCAGTGTTGGCCGGGTGCGGTGGCTCACGCCAGTAATCCTAGCTCTCTGGGAGGCCGAGGCGGGCGGATTGTTTGAGCTCAGGAGTTCGAAACCAGCCTGAGCAAGAGCGAGACCCCGTCTCTACTAAAATTAGAAAGAAATTAATTGGACAACTAAAAATATATACAAAAAAAAAAAAATTTGCCGGGCATGGTGGCGCATGCCTGGAGTCCCAGCTACTGGGGAGGCTGAGGCAAGAGGATCACTTGAGCCCAGGAGTTTGAGGTTGCTGTGAGCTAGGACCACGGCACTCTAGCCCGGGCAACACAGTGAGACTCTGTCTCAAAAAAAAAAAAAAAAGAAGTGGCCAGTGCCCAAGTCCTAAACCAGACCTCTGATTGGCAGTGAGGTCATCGTTTCCAAGGCAACAAACAGCTTCAGCCCAGAGAGCAGGCAGCAGGGATTCCTGGAATGGGCCCTGCCCATCCCCAGGGTTGGTTTCCTGGCTGGGCATGGGCACAGCCAGCT